AAAAAAAAAAAAACAGAAATGAGAATCTTTACCCTTCATTATCACTGTCAGTAGGATTTGACAATGATAAACCATATGTAATACTAAATTTTCTATACATTTCTTTTTAATCATAGTTTCAACTTAAGTTTTCATGGAAAAGAAGTTTTGCACACACTGTTAATACTTATGATGACTAACACATTTACCTATTGAGAAGTAGGAAAGGAAAGATTGAGATGGAAGGTAAAGAGATATTATTAATAGCCCAATGTTATTTTGGTACATAAAACAAGCAAACGATGAAGCCCAGAGAAGAAGTTTTATGACAAGTAGTTATATCCCAAGTACCATTTTAAAAGGTACATTAAATTTTCTACAGTTCCATATAAATCAAATGTCTGTGTTTACACCTTTATTGAAGCTCTCTATTTTATGAGAAGCAAATAAAAAAATATCAAGGACCTACAGAAAAATTTTAGAATTCTTTGTGAGAATGTAAAACTCCAAGGATATTTTAAATTATATCATACTAATTTGGGATACTGAATTATGCGGTTATTTTGCCTATCCAAATCTCTCTGCACCTTATTTTGCATGTGGTATTGAATGTCAATAGACACTTCACGGTCATCCTCTGGAATTTTTGCCTGCCAGAATCTGAAGAAGATACAAAAGATAATGAAGGATGGGAATTGTGGTTATTGACCTTAATTCCAAAATATTCCTGTTCCATTATTATAAGGCCTCTAGGACATAGACTAAGGGCCAATGAGATGCTACAGTTAGCATTCTTGATCAACAACCTTGAAAATTTTGGCAGACCTTGTTCAAAAAGGGGAGCAAGTGCGAGATAATAGATGCTCTTTCTTTTTAAGATTTATTGATTTATTTATTTTAGAGAGAGAGAGCGAGCACAAGTGAGATGGGCAGAGGGAGAGGGAGAGTGAATCTCAAGCCAACTCTGTGCTGAGCCCAGAGCCTAACGTGCGGCTTGATCCCATGATCCTGAGATCATGACCTGAGCTGAAACCAAGAGTCAGATGCTTAACTGACTATACCACCCAAGTGCCCTGATAATGGATGTTTTCTCTGTTACTGGGAAATTATCTCAGTGTGCATGCCATGCTATGGAAATGTTGGAAAAATCTTTGTCAATTAGGACACTAATGTATTTCCCAGCTAGGTTCCATTTTTATTTTAATTCACCAATAGTCAATCATGAATAGTTATTAGTAGCACACTTTTCAAGAAAGAGAAATTTAGAACAAAGAAAATGGGAAGAAAAATTGATTGTCTTTGGTAATGACATTGTAACCAATACAGCATGGATTTAACCAGGCTTCTTCTTCCTGCCCCCATTTTCTTTAAGTTTTGTTTTACACCAAAAAAAAAAAAAAAGAAAGAAAGAAAGAGCATGTGTATTTCTATAAAATAGAACTCTATCACAGAAATACATGATTTAATTTAAAAATGTATAGCATATGAATTAGAATATCCAGAGCCATCATTTTTTAGTGTTAAAATTTTCTCAACAGAAAGGTGGCTCATGCAATCACCTAATGGATTGATACTCATGAAGTGATGAGCACAGTGCTGGTATATATTTAGAACACAATAAAAGTTAGCAGTCATTATTACCATTGTTATCTTTTCATGATGGTTATAATCATTATTGTTTAGTGTTCACTGCAAACCTACAGAAGAAAGGAACTGTGTATTGGAAAGGACACATTTGGGTTTTACTTCTGTGGTTTGTACATTGGTACCTTACTGGGTGGGCTGGGAATAAACATAATGCTCATGAAGTCCAGATTAAGTCTTATGTAAACTTGTGATGTGCATGACATTTTTACTTTTGAAAATTTTATATCCAGTGGTGCCTGGGTGGCTCAGTCGGTTGAGCGTTGGACTCTTGATATCTGCTCAGGTTGTGATCTTGGGGTCCTGGGATCAACCCCACTTCCGGCTCCCTGCTGAGTGTGGAGCCTGCTTGAGATTCTTTCCCTCTCCCTCTGCCCCTCCCCCGCTCATGCTCTCTATTTAAAAAACAAAAGAAAAGAAAATTTTGTATCCAGTGCCTCTGGTTGGAAAATTTAAGATTCATCTACCCAAGTTCGAGGGTAGATATTTGGCTCTTTCAAATCTCTTTCCCATTTCTCAGCACCACTTCTTTATTCTGTTCTTTTAGGGTTTTGTTCTCTGTAGTACAGGGAGCCCAGGAGACCTCTGAGCAATTTGTCGATGCTTGAATATTAAAAATTGATCATAGATTAAGATAAAAATACCTTTTGGTGTTACAATTTGTAGCTCTAACAAAACTCTAACTTGATCAAAGCCAAGAAGGCTGAACTTAGAATCAAAGCCCAAGGATGCCTCTCTGCCAACTTGTAGCCCTTGTCAACACCCCCATCTTTGTTCTGGGGTTCCTCCAAATTTCTCTCCACATCTTTGGTACCCATCCTTCAATACCCTTCTTCAGCCAGCCCCATCCCTTGGAACTGACACAGACCACATGGGCCCACCTTTATGTGAGTGCTGCTGATGATAAACTTACCTTTCTCTCTAGACTTACTGGTCTGTTGTCAGAGTATCTCTCAGATATTTCAGTGGGATTAATCAGATGAATAAATTTTGAAGTGGAGCATTAGGATTCACAGCAGTTTATGTGGTACTCTTCCTGCAAAACTCCTTTAATAGCTTTCTTTACGTCCCCTGAAACTATGGTAGGAAGGACAGAGGGGAAACTTGGGGAAGTCTAGTTTTTTACCACGCTCAAATTGTAAATGTCAAGTTCTGCCTCCTTTCCTGTTTTATTTTGCCATGTCTTGTTTTCTAATCTTTCTCCAAGCAGGTAGGTAGGGAATTCATGTGCCCTTTCCCTGCACCCCCATAGAGGGAGGACCGTGGCCTAGAGAAAGAGGATTTTAATCATATGATGACAGGGTTTTAGAAAGTACTTTGAAGAATATTACCTTGATGTAGCCTCTGTTCAAAACACGTTTTCAGGAGATTGAAGTAGAAAAAAATGACTTAATATGGCAGAGAGAAAAATACTTGTAGTGTAGGATTAAGAATAGCAGTGTAAAGCAGAGAGTATGTCAAGCTATTTTCCAGTATGTAATTCCTCGAGGAGGATTTGGTTTGGATTTTTAATCTCCATTTCTCCAACACCCATCACAATGTCTGGCTCATGTGAGGCACTGAAGAATTTGAATTATATGTAAAATGGACAGTAGTCACCTAGTGCATTTCCATATAAAAAAGAGGGGGAAATGATTAGGGAAAGGGAGAGAATAATCTAGTAAAGAAATGATTAGTGTTTGAAGAGAAAGGAGGGAAAAGGTAAAGTGGACAGTAAAGAACAAAGAATTAGAAAGTGTGGATGTAGTATTATTCCCACTAAAAGCTTTTTGCAATAAATATATTTTATAATTGTCTTAAGCAAATGTGCTGTTCAAAAGTAATAATTCCTTAAAAGTAAAATTTCTTTCGAGAATGTTTTACTACCCTAAACACAACCAGCTGATGTAGGTCCAACTTAAGCTCTTATTTTTTTTTTTTTTCAAAAAATACAATGTGCCTATGCAATTGTGTTGAAAATTCTGATGAAATTTACACAGTGCAGAGCAATAACCATTTTTGTACCTGCGAGTTAATAAAACAAACACATAATAACACTCCAGGGAAGAGGAGATACCTTTCTTATGAAACTCTGAGGAGTCATGTATTTGATATCAAGAACCCTTCTTATTCTTTTGAGTAATGGTGCTGGTAGACATTGATATAACTCCCTGGAGCCTATTTCCAAGCCAACACTGTAACTCAGTTGAAGGAATGGGGAGGTGTGTTAAAGCTTTTTAACGCAGGATTGGCATCTCAATAAATCAAGGACTATAAAAGAAAAGAATTAACAAGGAAAAAAAGGAGACTATCCCACCAAGAGGATCACTACTTACCACAATTTAAATCACTCTCTGTACTACATTATTTACTTCGTGTTTTTCCCTCTTCTAATAATCTCTTAACTTTTCCGTGCTTTTTGTTTCCTACTAAAGAGAAACCACCAGAGGAGCATGTTTTTAAAAAATGAATAAAAACCTGGCGCCTGCATGGCTCAGTCAGTTAAGCATCTGCCTTCAGCTCAGGTCATGATCCCAGGGTCCTGGGATCAAGTCCCGCATCGGGCTCCGTGCTCAGCGGGGAGTCTGCTTCTCCCTCTGTCCCTCCGCCCCACTTGTGCTGGCTGTCTCTCTCTCTCTCCCCCAAAAATAAATAAATAAAATCTTAAAAAAATGAATAAAAATCTATGCGTATATATCTGAATAAATATATATAAATATACATATAATACACAGCTAGACAAATAAATCACTTTGTCTGCTTCCCTAAATAGAAAAGAATCTTTGACTAAGAACCTGATTGAGTTCTGACCAAAGTTATTACCTCAGAGCTTCAACTTTGCTTAACTCAAGTAGCAGTAGTCAAGAAGTATATAAGGTTTACACAACAGCCTTCTCTCTGGTCCACACTGTCCAAAAGGCATGTAGCTTATAGGGTGTAGGCTAATAAACTGGGTCACACCCTGCAGAGAGCACTCTATCTAGAAGTATCACACATACAAAAAGAGCTGATTGTAACCATACTACCTCTTTTGGGTACTGATCAACAAAACCTTGTAATATACTTAAATTAATTAGTAGCTACGGAGTTGTAGTTGCCAAGAGATTTCCAAAAAGGATCATCTAAAGCAATGGCACTCTTACATCTTTAAATGATATTAACTGTTTCTCAAAAATGTCTCTCCTAAATTCCCACTGTCGGCAGAAATCTACTATCTAGATTAGTCTATTATTAAGACTATTTAGACTAGACTTAAGTGTTACAATCAATGGGTTCTGTGTTTGTACATGTTAGAAGGTTCTCCCAAATATGGGTATGACACATCTTAGATTTTGGAAAGGAAGGAAGTCTAAGAAAAAAGAGCAACAGCTAACCATGTTGTCCTGTTCAAGCATGCACATGTTTTATTTAAGTATTCTCCAAAGGTCTATTTTTTTCCAGCATAATGCAGATATTATGCTATCCTTTGAAATAAGATATATGAATTTCAAACAAAATTGTCAAAAACAATGACCTTGGTTACTCCATATGGTACACAGAAATAATTACATTTCACTTACAATACAGATGCACTTAACACACAGTCATCAATAGTCATTCACCACCAACACAGTATATTTTTAAATCACCTAAAACACCAAAAAGTTTTTTTTTTCTTTTCCAAAAATCTAAAGGAATTAATAGTTTGGGATAAATGATAAGTTGAAAAGGAGACAGAATTGTCAACTGAAATAATCTAACTGCATTTTTAAAAATGTAGTATTAAGAACATGAAAATAGAACTTTTCATTGGGAATCAAAAGACCTAAGTATTCCTGATTGTGGTTTCCTTAGTCTACTTTTTAAAAAGTTTTTTCAACAAATGCCATCAAAGACGTTTCACTATATTTGCTCTAGAAGCATAAAGTGACATGAGGCAGGTGTTAATATAATTGTTAATATTCACACTCCAGGAAGATTAGTAACTTTTTAAAAGACATACTAGGAGTAAAGCCAGTTCTTCCCGAGAGATAGTGGAGTGTATCTTACTTTTATTCAGCAAATGTTTATTAAGATCTACCATGTGCACAGCACTGTTCTAGAAGCTATTCTAGAAATGGGAAGCAAGAATTTCTGGCTTTACTTGAAAATGGTTGGATTAATTCCTTTTTATGATAAATTATGATAAGCATTTTAAAATCTCTATAGTAGAGGGATAATTATTAATTCTTTCCATGTACGGAAGCTAAACGTTATTTCTTACGGTGGTGGTTTGGAATGAACAAAACTTTTCATTTGACATAAAACTTTTTTACACTGTCACGTGCAGACATGTCTGCTGATATATTTTAAAGGTGAAAAGGTATAAAGACTTTTCACTTAAATGTACACAGAGATCAACTTTGCATCCTCAAACTCCCATCCTCCTGATTTAGTGGAGAAAATTGCTCCTTGCCGTGTACAGGAGCCTTCCTCCGATGAATTTGTGTGGCCTTCTCCAGTGGCGTAGAGAGCGTGCTTTCATCAAATATTGCTACATAAAGTACTCTAGTTCTTAATCTCTGCATTTCAATTCACATTAGTTATTCTCAAAATGTATTCAAGATCTAAAGTAAAATAAATAATACATCAAGCGATATTCTGGGATCACTGATTTAGTGATATTAATCCCAGCCTACTCTTTGCCTGAAACACATAGCGATATATCCAGTGTCTGGGCTTTTCCCTAACAGCAAAGAGGTTAGAGATCATTCATAGATGTCAACTCCTTTTTCCTGATTTTTGATAAGGGGATTGATGATAGTAATCTACTTACAAGGTAGTATGTCGGGGAATACAAAAGTAGGAAAGTCATTTGAACTACAAAACGTTAGTCCAGTTGATGACGACAAACCCAATAGAAAGGCGCTGTAGAAGTACAAGAACAGATAATGCACTGTCACGGGGACACAGCGGACCAAAGGATATTACTGAAAAACATTTATGGCACAATAGTTTTGGATTAAAAAGTTATCTAAAACCTGGCCACACCAGAAGTGTTTCTATGAACGTGGCTCTTACTGTATCTATGAAGATCTGGAAAGTACGACAACAAAAAATCCTGATTCCTGATACAACAGGTGTACAATGAATTATTGCAGTTGTACCAGTATCTAGGTGCAAGGTAAAACAATAATTAATACTGAACTATCTGAACACTTTAGATTTACTAATGAGCATCCCCATGAGAAATACCGCAGCTCTAAAGGAGTTTATTGGCACAGCCCACCATAGAACATGAACAATCAGCTTGTTGTAAGTGCACAGAAATTCCCCCTTTCTACAATTATAGTTTATCATGCCTATTCTGAAGACAACATAAGGACACTGAAATCACTGCTTCAAAGAATTCTAGCATGCATTTTGATGGTTTCCTTCAGTCAATACAAATGTGTCATAGGAGTTGTTTTTTTTTTTTTTTTTAACACGTAATAATCTTCATCATAGCCAATGTTCATGGTTTTAACAGGAAAAATTTTTATCAAAATGTTTTCCATATTTTTTTTGTTTTGCATTCAACTGGAACATTATGTTCAAAGATTTGTTTTATTTATTTTATTAAAAAAGAGTTCAGATCATAAGAAGCATCGATAGGCGGCATTTCATTGTGCTCATTCACAAAGTCAAAGGGTCACAGACTCTTCCTCTGTATAACAGGTCAACTTTGTCTAGAAATGCCATTTGGTGGTTTTATTTCCATCCTCAGGTTTGGAAGCTTTGTTTTTTATTTCACTGCCAACCTTCTTGCTTTGCTGTTTTCATCTGCAAAAGGTTTATTTATTTCTTCTTTCTTCCACATTGGAATTCTTTCCACAGCCAGAGCTCAAATTTTCTTACACCTGGTTCCAATTGTCTTACAAAGCAGACACTCTGACAATATTGCCTCCTGAGTACTCCGGAGATTCTGGCCTGTCGTCTCCTTCAGGGGTGGTCACTGGAGGTGTTGGGATGCTTATTATTGCTGTGGTCACATAAGGTTGTTCACAGTTTAGTTTAACACATTCTTCCATTTTGGCATTTAAACTGGATCGGCTGGTGAGGAAGAAATAGATTTTAAAAAGTAAGTTGTTGACTGAAACAATGTTTTCCCTACAACTGAGGGATGCGTTTCATGTCTATCAGTAACATGTTAAATATCCAAGACCAGTCACCATGATTTTTTAAAAATGAAGTACCAAACCTAATAATATATGTCAAAATGAACATTAGCCAGGTCATTAATGTTAACTAAGTGTCTAAAAGCCAGCTCAATTTGGTTCAATCAGTGTTTCTCAAAGTGTTTTCTACAAAAATGCAAGAAAGGGAATCGGGTCAGTTTTGGAAAGCCTGGGTTGGGCAAAGTAAAATCAGGACCTCTGAGAGGTTTGAGAGGCTCATATGGAAGAGATGCACCTCAATGCTCTGTGAATGTGTTTCAGTTTTTGTCACCTCAGAGTCATTTTACTATCTTGTCTCTTGGGGAAAGACGATGCCCTTAAAGCTCTTAAAGCCAATTTTAAGAACCTCTAAAAAGTTAGCCATTATCGATAATTCCAGATTTTCCCAAGTGGTATTCTTGCGTGAGTTTTATACTCCATGTGGATGGAGGTCAAAGGGGAGAGGAACAAGGAGGGTATACACAGGATGCTAATTACTTAAATCTAATTACCTTATTTTCATGGAAATCTTATTTAAGATGTTTTTGTCTTAAAATTTTCATTCTGAACAATTCTCTGCTTTCTACTTAATTTTGGAATGGATGTAAAACAATGCAGAGGTAGAATATCTTAGAGACAGAAATCTTTCATTGTTCCAAAATTTAATATTCTGGTCCCAGAGACATCTGATTTATGTAAATCAACATAGCCTGAATTCAGAATGTCATCCAGGTTTTTCACAAAGATTGCTGAATGAGAACAAAGGAGTAGCACCGAATTAATGGATTGTTAATATAAAAACATAGCTATTTAATTTGAAGAACAAAGCAAAATTATGTTGGCAGAAATTGATCGTTTTAATGAGTTGTATAGTTTAAATGGATTCCTTTTTATTACACATACATGTTTGTGGTAAAAACAAATAGCAAAGAAAGAGAAGCAAAGGCAAATGCCAACAAAAATTTCACTTCAGTTGTCCATGAATGAACCAGACGTGAACAATTTTAGCATTTCACTTATGTTTTTTTGTATTGGATTGATTTTTGTGTTTGCTGTGGGCCAAAATATCTTTATGATCAAAATTATATATTGATTCGGGCGCCTGGGTGGCTCAGTTGGTTGAGCGACTGCCTTCGGCTCAGGTCATGATCCTGGAGTCCC